GGCTACGCGAAGCTTCGGGTGCCAATTCGATTCAGAGGAGATTTGGCTTGATTCGGCAGCCAACTCTCCGAACCCAAATCGAATCAGGAGACCAATGAAAAGGTCTGAATCAATTCAAAGCCTCTGAACTGATTTGAAAAAGATTCAGAGATTCAGCAATTTGGGTAGCCCCGCTTGCCACTGCAGGGAGCTGGACCTGGGCCCCATGCTGGTAAGTAGAGGGCGGGGGGAAATGGAGGAGGGGGGATGGGACCACCTCCATGCCCCAGCCCATGCCCGCTCCCCTAAGCACCCCCAGGCCCCTGCCCACGCTCCCAGCCCGGCTCTGAAAAAAAAAAAAAAAGAGCCGGGATGCTGGGGCCAGGTAAGGGATAGGGCCTGTTCAGTTTGGCTGAATTGGTGGTGGCCGAATCTCTGAATCAGATTCAGGACAGCAATTCAAAATCACCTAATCAAATCGGTGTCCCACGAATTGGCCGAATCTGAAGCGAATACTAGCCGCTTCGCACAGGCCTACAGGACACATCCCAGCACACCTGATCTGCTTTGTCTGGCAACATCATTTTTAGCCTTAAAGAATACTACTGAGTTGTCAGGATCAGCTACACATTTTCCAGTTAATGAAACATCAAGAAGCTGCCCCTTTGCATAACTCTTAATATAGCTACTATCCTCTGTATAAGTTAACAAAGAAGCAAATCAACTGTTGCAGGAATGGAGCCATAAGCACTTCTGTACTATGGATTGTGGGAATGCTCTGCTCTGAATTACTTCCAGAACTCTAACTAGCTCTTGGAGATATTTAAGAAAGTGTAGATATGGCTGTGTGCTTTGCAAGAGGTCTAAATCTCACTGATTTGACAATAATGCCTCCTCTTTGTAGGTTAGAATGTTACCTGCACCTGGAGAGTTCCAGCTGGGATCCTAGACATAGGGTTATAAGCAGGTTTTCCCCAGCGGTATCGCAATGGGTTGAGTCGCTCCCCTCTGAAACTAGGGGTGCAACCACTGCCTTTTGATCAAAATGATTATAAAGACAAACTTAGCTTCTTATTAAACCCAGGTAGCTGAAACAATAGCTTACTCCACCCCAAAGAAAAGCCAGCTAAACCTCTCCACCCAGGTTTGTTTGTTCATTTTTTTAAAGGTTTGCATCTATGAAAAGACTAGGGAAGCTGAGGGAAGATAGCAAGGAAGTATATAATTCAATCTGAACAAGTATTGAGGATGCAACTATGAGAGAAAGGCTAGAGACTGGTAATTTATTTAGAATAGCAAGGAAAGAAAAGTCTATTTGAGGATTCCTGCTGTATTCAGGAAAACAAGACTCTCCGTGGGGAGAAGTGGCAGTGGTTAGGTCCTAGTTCAGGGGTGGGCAATTATTTCGGGTGAAGGGCTGCTTACTGAGTTTTGGCAAGCCATGGAGGGCCACATGACAGGCAGCCAGGGGCAGATGAATATTAATTTTCTAAATTTTTTAGGGGCTCTATGGGCTAGATAGAATGCCCTGGCAGGCTGCATTTTACTCACCCCTGTCCTAGCACCAGCCTACCTCAGACCTGAGCTGGGTTATTCTGGTCTGCTGCTGGAAACCAGTGCCACTCGCTGATCTAGCTACAGATGCACTAAATAAACTCAGCATGCATTCAGGATTAAACACCCTTCCCCCCACCCTGCCAAGACAAGCCACCGTAATAAAAGCCACTGTCTTCTCAAAAACCAGAACAGATAACATTAGGGTCTGACTCCTTGTCCAACTGAGCTATCAGGTATATTAGATGTATCAAAATGCTGCACACAGATTTAGACTCCAAATGACTGAATTTCCCTCCATTTCTTGATTCAATCACTTCAAAATATTTTAACAGACTACAATAATTCTGATACGTCCTGATATTGACATGCTTATTATATACACTATAGCAATACTGTATTAAAAGAAAGATAAAGTGAATCATCATTTCACTAACTAAGGGACATCTAAGCACTAGAAAAGGGCTTCCCGCGAAGGAACGAAGCATTGCACAAAAGATTGAAATCAGCCATAATAAAAACCTCAACCTTGTAAACACAAACCTTCTGACACCAGGTCAAAAGGGTTTTCCTTATTTCCATAAGTGCCATTTCTTGGACTTATAACTCATCATTTGGTCATTAACCACTGAATCCCTACTGCTTTTCTGTGTACATGCATTTAAAAAGGTATAATTTAGTACATAGGAGACCCCACTATCTCCTTGCCCTTGTTTTATATTTGTTTGATTAAAAACAAAAAATAAACAAGCAAACAGTTCACACTATTAAATGACAAAACAGCTTTACCTATCGCATCCTTTACAAAAGTCCAGTCTTCATACTAAACAAAATATTATACTACTAAAACAAGAATTTCATGGATAAACAGATACCATATTTCATGGTGTATAAGTCAAGTTTCAAAGTCCAATTTTTAATTCTTAAAATTCAACCTCAACTTGTACATTGTATCAAAATCCCCTGTGAGCAGC